TAGAGCATCAACAAGAAGTTGTACAAACGACCGAGCCCGGGTCCAATCCAGAAGAGATAGAGCAAGACTCTAAACTCACACGCAATGATACCGATGACGGGAAATCGCCAGACGCTACGGATACCACGACTGCCAGCCATTCAAAACCACCAGCGAAACCCTCTCCAGCTGCGGCGTCAGAGACTCCAGAACGAAAAATAAAACCTACAACTGCATCGCCAGCGAACACTGGCAAGGTGCCATACCGTGTCGGGCTGAGCAAACGAGCGAGGATCGCTCCTCTCTTGCGCATTGTGAAGAAATGATTAAACAAAGCATACTCGTGCTTCTGCGTCGGCATCGCGAACCATGATACCATACCTCTTATCCAGACATGTACTTGAACTTAATGATACCCACTTTTACTCGGCATTGCCGTCAATTTCCACCTCTTCGTAACATCGTATACAAGGACCAGCTGAAGTTTTTCTAGTGGCGCTCCTGCCTTAGCCGGCCACAACTGAGCGACTAACAAACGCAGCTATCCAAAGTCACTACCGTGGAGCTAAAGCGAACAGCGCAGCCGCTTAGCCGCTTGCTCGCAGCAGCAGATCTGTATCAAACAGTTGGCTGCTCTACACTGTACTTACTGGTCACGTTGCCTTAGCGAGCTCTCCAAACATTCTACATCGCATTGCACATGCGATTTGTTTGCCGGTGGTTCGTTGCCGCGCGCGGCATTATCGATTATCGAGAGCGGACGCCAGCGCTCGCTTCGAGCTTGGCAGTGGAAATGAAGGCCCTCAGGGGCCTCCAAGCATCGAATCGCGACCAGCGGACGACCACCGGGGCGTTCCCAATCCTGCTCTCCTGAGCTTGGCATTCAGGCGTTCGTCTTAGGGCTGGACGAAATGCGATTCGAAGTCTCATCGTACGAACGGCGTGCATGACGATGTACCGTTACTGGTGCGCTGTCGCTTATTCCCAATACCACGGCACGAGGTATCGCAACGGCCGTTCGTTGACAACACTGACATCGCTGACAGCACGAAACACGAGTAAAGTGCTTTCAGACTGACATTGGCAGATATCGGATCGAAATTGCGAGTTATCCTACGGTCACCGATCATACCAGCAGCGAAGGCTTCCATAGAGCCCTTCAATCTCAGAGCTCTCTGATGGGCGCCGCGTACCGAGAGAGCCGAAAGCAAACGGCCTCTGATTCCTACGCGAGACGCCATTGAACGCCACATCAAGCCAACACGTGAAAAGCACGATGTTTTTGTGATGCCAAGTACTCCTCTAGCCTATTGTTGAGTTGGGCCCCGCCGGCGATCATCCCACTTCAGTATATCCGCGACGGGAGCCGGTCACAACCAGCATCGCGGCTCATATATTTAGACCCCAGCGGTTTAAGGTCTTGGCCTTGTCAGGAACAGGACGATTCGGGCTCTGTTATCCCTCTTCGAGATTGACATGTCCCTAGGAATTGGAAGCTGTTAAGCCTCCAGATCTGCTCGGCTACCAAGACATACCATCACACTGGGGACGCGAGATCATGTTGTAGCATTTCGTGGTGGCTTATACTAGGCGCCTTCGCAGTTGTCTCAGTACCATGCCGTCTCCACATCCTCTTCGTATCCCACGAAGGTTTCCCAGGGCCGCGCTCTTGGCTGCTGATAATAGTGTGCTGACTTCTTCCAGTTAGTGGGCTCCACTCCTCGCAGCTACGCCGCCACGAGTCGCCCTTGGAGGTGCGTCTATGGCATTGTGTGATATAAGTACATCGGGCTTCTTCTCCCTACGCTCTTCACTCGTCTTGCTCGTCTTTGCACGCATAGCGACCGTCACTCGTTTTTTCATATCGACTAATTTTAATTGACTTTACTGTCAACCACACTCGCTTCCGCTCTTACAACCAAAGTCGATTACAACTATTATACTAGTGCTGTAAACATTAATTCGCCAAGATGCGTTTCTCTCAAGTCGCTGCTGCCTCTTTGGTAGCACCGCTCGTCGCCGCTCATGGCACGGAGGGTATGCCAAGGATCGTCGGTTTGCCCAGGCAATTGAGGGCCAGCAACCCTCTTGCTGGTTACTCAGGCGGTCATGCTGCTGAGGCAGGACCCGTCATTCGTCCCCGACAGTCCACTGACGGACGTTGCGGACCGGATGGCGGCAACCAAAAGTGTGCGGACAGCGAGTGCTGCTCAAGCGCCGTACGTATATGGGATGAGACACTTCGTGTATTGAGCGTGTACTTACAGTAGAACAGGGATACTGCGGTACTACCCAGGAACACTGCCAAGCGCCCGACTGCTTGTTCAATTTCGGTCCTGCATGCGGTATGATGAATTCTACACTCTGCACGATGAACATGTTACTGATAGTATGACAGATGCCAACAAGACTCCTGCTGGAGCAAGCACCCGTAACGACCCCCGCCCCCAGCTTGGAAGCATCCCCTACGGCGGTGAAGGCATCTACGTCTGCAACAACCCTGGAACCGTGGCAATCACATACGACGATGGTCCATACATCTACACCGAGGGCGTTATGAAGCTGTTCGAGGCACGAGGAGCTCACGCCACCTTCTTCATCACCGGTAACAACATCGGCAAGGGCGCCATTGATGAGAACTGGGCGGGTGTCATCAAGAAGATGTACGACAACGGCCACCAGGTCGCCTCTCACACATGGTCCCACCAGGACCTCAGTGCTATCACCAAGGAGGAGGCTTACGACCAAATGGTCAAGAACGAGATGGCTATTCGCAACATCATCGGCAAATATCCCACCTACATGCGCCCTCCGTATTCTTCTTGCACTGGAAGCTGCCAGGAAGTCATGGCCGATCTCGGTTACGTCGTATCTTACTTCGACCTCGATACCGATGACTACAACCAATTGACCCCCGAGAAGATTCAGGTCGCCAAGGACAACTTCAAGAAGGGCATTGATACCCGTAACGAAGGATACTTCGACGGCGACAGGCTTGCTATTGGCCACGACATCCACCAGTTGACCGCCGAGAACCTCACCGTATACATGCTCGACTACCTCTACGCTCAAGGTCTCAGGGCCGTCACCATGGGTGAGTGCATGCAGGACCCCGAGGAGAACTGGTACCGCGACTCTACTCCCGCTCCTCCTAGCACCTCATCTACCCGTACTTCTTCCTCCGCTGTCCCCACTCCTACCGGCCCCACCTCCAAGGACGGTATGTGCGGTGCTGCTGGTGGCTCTCAATCCTGCGTTGGCTGGGTTGGCGTCGACGGTCTCCTCGGCGAGTGCTGCTCTCAATACGGCTACTGTGGCAACACCGCCGACCACTGCCAGACTGGCTGCCAAGCTGGTTTCGGAAAGTGCGGTGCCCAGCCCAGTGCTTCTCCCTCTGCCTCTGCTACCGTCTCTGCTAGCGTCACTGGCCCTGTCCCTACCCCTACCGGCTCCAGCACTACCGACGGATCTTGCGGTGCGGCAAACGGTGGCATGACTTGCATTGGTTTCAACGGTCCCGCTGGTCTGAGCGAGTGCTGCTCCCAGTACGGATACTGTGGAAACACTGATATCTACTGCGACGCCGGATGCCAGGCTGGCTTCGGAAAGTGCGGTATTCAGGCCGTTAGCAGCGCCGCTTCTTCCGTTGCTGCCAGCACCAGCCCTGCCCCCTCTTCCTCTGCCGATGTCAGCGCCAGCAAGGACGCTGTCTCTTCCACTGCTTCCAGCACCACCGTCGATGCTAGCTCGAGCGTCAGCCAGGTCTCCTCCGCAGCCTCTGCTACTCCCACCACCTCCGGTGAGAAATCTCGCGATGGCTCATGCGGTGGAACCAAGGGATACACCTGCGTCGGTTTCAGCACTCTCGAGGGCGTAAAGTCTGAGTGCTGCTCTGCTTGGGGATACTGCGGTACCTCTGAGGACCACTGCGGTGCTGGTTGCAACCCCGTCTACGGCAACTGCCCTTCGACCTCTTCTTCGCCTGCTTCTTCTTCCATTGCTGTTTCCAGCGCCAGCGAGAAGTTTGACTCTGCTTCCTCCTCCGCGGCTATTCCTACGTCTGAGACGGTTTCTTCCGTTGTCGCTTCAGTCTCTGCTTCGGCTTCTGCGTCCGTCTCTGAGTCCGTTTCCGCTTCGGCTTCTGCCTCGGTCTCTGAGCACGTTTCCACATCGGCTTCTGCCTCGGTCTCTGAGTACGTCTCTGCATCCGTTTCTGCCTCAGAGTACATTTCCGCATCGGCTTCAACCCCTGTATCTGAGAAGCCCGAGGAGCACGACTCCACCTCCGTCGCTGCCTCTGCTTCCTCCACTTCCGTTGCTGAGTCTGCTTCCGCCTCCAAGGACAGCTACCCCACCAGCTCCGCCATCTCAGAAGTTTCCTCCGTTTACCCCAGCTCCACCCCCGGAAACTCCGAGGCCGTCCCATCAAGCAGCCCGGCCGCTTCTTCCGCCTCTTCCTCCTCCCCCGCCTCCAGCTCCGCCACCCTCCCCAGCAGCGCAGCTTCCACCCCCTACGCCACCTCCACCATGACACCCACCCCCATCCTCCCCTCCTCCTCCTTCTCCACCGCCATCGTTCGCCCCAGCTCGACTTCCTGCTCCACCACCGCCACACCCACACCCACCAAGCTGCCCGTCTCCTCCAACGGAAAGTGCGGTGAGCACAATGGTGGCCAGACGTGCGCGGGCTACAAGACGCTGTTTGGTGTTGAGATGGGTTGCTGCTGCAAGCAGAGTGGGAGGTGCTCGATTGATCCTTGGGCGTGTGGGCTTGGGTGCGATAAGGGGTATGGAAAGTGTTGGTTTTAGGTTATGAGTAGGGGATTGGGATGCATGGTTGAGGTTTTTTCTTTCTGTTCTGGATATATCCTGTTGTGATGATGCGTGGTTTGTTGTAGTATGATATGTATAACATGTAAAGAAAGAATGCATGATGATGAAGATGAACTTGGAGCTGTGAGGAGTTTATTCTATGTGACGGTCTTTTGATGACGAATTTCTCGTTTCCTAGCCGCGCCAGACTATGAACGTCCTTGATCTCCATCACTGCTCTTTTCTGCTACCTTACCTTCAACCCTGTTGTCGCTCAGTTCCTTGTCATCGCCCTGCTTTCCGACATCGCCCTTCCTGTCGTCATCGCTCTTCTTGTCGTCATCGTCCTTCTTCTCTCCACCCTGGCCTGCAATCTTCCCGCTCTCGTCAACATCGCTATCTCCCTGGTTACTGCTATCGCCCCCATAGTCTTGCCATTCATCATCATCATCATCGTGATAGCTGATATATGACTTCGAAAGATGGCTCTTATACTGCTTCGCCCCCCATGCAGCGAGAACTCGGTAACTCCAGCACCTTTTCTCAGCGTCGACCCATATGGGCCATGGCCGCTGATATCCTGGAGCAAAGAGAATCTTCTCTGGGCACATGCCCTCCTGTCGCCAGATACGCAATTTTATGCCTGATGCAGTCATATCCGCCACAGTGTCGCGGAAGAACTTTCTCCTGCTCTTGCGTAACTCGTGAGCGCCTTCATCGGCGACACGACGCCAATAAGTATACCAGTCCTCCAAGTTAAGCGACAGCTCAAGACTCCGAAGGTTCAATGTACGTGCTAGCTGAAGAGCCAAGTCGATTCGTTCATCATGTGCGGTCAAACACAAGACGTGTAGAGCTTCAAGACTGTCGGGTAGGTACTCAGCAGGGCGGGTAAGAGCCAACACCTCTGCATCTGGATCGTAGATATGATCATGAGTTGCCAGTAGTTGGGCGTCTATCTTCAGTTCTCGCAGTTTGGAAAGACCCTTGAAGCTGCCGAAAGTTCTCGTGGAAGTATTTTCTTTCTCCCAGTCGTGCTGAAACCAGTGTAGAACCTCTAGGTTGGGTAGATGACCTTCAATAACTTGGATAATGCGTCGGAGATCGTAGTCCTTGGGCCATGAACTCTCGTAGCCAACAAACACTTTGCTGATCTTCAGCTCTTTGACATTACTGAGTTCTGGTAAAGAAAGCAGCTGTTCGAAGGCGGCTGGACTAACATCAACTTTGCTCATCTCCAAGACCCGTAGGGTCGAACTAGTGCTCCGGTATGGCAAGTGGATAGGTAGGCTGCCGTGCCTGACTGACCATAGTTCGGGTTCTATACTCAAAGATTCCATCCACGGGAAGACAGGTACTGTGCCGTATAGCCTTCCGCGTGCATTGAGATTCTTCAAGTTGCAGAATGGACGGGTTGTCGAGTTGTTGTCGCTCAGTCCCCATTCGTGATTTAGAACTCTTGTTGTAATTGACCACGGTTCGAGTTCTAAGTGCTCTAAGTTCGTCGCTAGACAAATGATCACAGCTTGCGCGCCATCGTACAAGCCTGAACCAGCGTAGACGCTACCGAACCAGCGCAGCATAAACTCATTGTCCATTTCCTTGCTAAGGTTTTCGATCGTGTCTCTCACAGTGGTGATGTTGTTCCAGAAGCGTTTGTAATAGGCATCATTGGCAAGGCTGTCCACGCGATGGTCAGGTTCGTACGTGATCGTGAGGCTTCTGATCAATTTTGCTAGCTTTGGTCGGCCGACGACGGTGAGGAAAAGGCGTCCAATCCGAGAATAATGATCTCGATCGAAGACGAGCTCCTTGTAGAGGACCTTCTCCGCTATGTCGCGGTAACGCCTGGACATTCCCAACATCTCAAGGAGCTTCTTCCTTGGCAATCGCTCATAGATGTTGTGGTGCAGCTCTGGTGGTAAATCGTTATACAACCTCATATTGTATTGCATCGTGAAGTGACGATTGATGTAGATATGTGTGAAGACAAGAAAGAGCGGGCGGCGTAGGCTCATGCTTTAAGTGAGGGAAGACATGTTTGTGGGTCGTGTAGCAAAGAGAAAGAGCTATTTGGCCTCATCACATGATCAAGTTCAGGTGATCAAGCGCGATTGCTCACTGAGAGCTTGTTCAATGGACAATCGACAACATGGTAGTCTTGCGCGGCATTGAGTATGCTCGTGAACATTGCGTGACGTCCGGTCTCTTCGATCGGATAGTGAAGATAGCAGGGACACGTTCTATCGGCTGTAGGATCTAATGCTCGAGGCGCCGTACCATCTATGTTAACATCGAGTGGGGTGAAAACCACGAGAATGAGCTCTAGGGATTGCTGTAACAGCTTTTGTCAGCCAACATGATAAAACGCAGCGTCGAATATGATGCGCAGGAGTTGAGTATATGGAAGGGCCTGTTGTCCAGACACTCGGCATGACCCTTGCCATATCGAACCCGATGGTGCTCCTCATGTATGCTGGGACACCGAATCACCGACCTACTCGAGCGTGACTTGTGATAGATCAAAAGGAGTCGTTGGGCTGCCAAGTTGTGGCGCCCCGATTCGTACACCGAAGCAATGCTTGTCTATACAAGCCGGCGAATTTTTCAGGGGCCTGGCCGACGAATATATTGATCGCAATATCGTTGTTGTTACTATACCTAGGTAGCCGGCTCAGCAACACCAACAGGCTCGAGCGCGAAAGACAGAGAAGCAACACCAACGACGCCCATCAAAAACGTCATGGCCATGTCAGTCGTACCTACCCCTCAACAATCCGTATAATCAGTTCTCCATACCTGGGCATTCTCCAGACCCCGCGCCAGCGAAAAGGATACGAGATCGTGACAAACAGCGACGCGAAAACGTGCTCGTATGGCCGTCTCAGCAGGACGTATTCGTCGTTGGCGCCGCATCTCAGAAATATTGAATCGGGGCTATTTTGAGACTTAGGTGCATCGGTTAGCGCCCGGCCATGTGGGGATGTGGCTGGTGACCCATAAACCCTGTCATGTTTCGTGATGACGGGCTACAACTTTACAAAGCCAACAATCTCTTCACCCCTCGTTTGAACGGCAAGCCTCTGCAAACATATCCCTTGTCACATGCAATAAATAATTACCTATGTACACATGATTCTCACAGCACCCTCAAGACCAGAAAAAGATTCCGGGTCGTCCGGAGAGTCGGACGGTAAAGCCACATCAAGCTTGGCGCCTACGTCGAAACTCCCGCTGGCACATCACGGATCACGGCTAGCGAGACCCCCGAAGCAGCCTAAACCAGGGGCGGATCACAACCTTCCCCCCGCGCCACCTATAGGAATGCGCTGCAAACATTACACGACCCCTAACCCCCTGTCCGTTACGGTCCAGAAGGCCAGAAGCAGTGTGGCTGAGTGCAGCACCACCACCGCCAACAATGGCGTGCGTTGGTGTGATGTGTCGCGCGTTTCGTTTCGTATATCCCTCTTTTTCTTTGCTGCCCCAGCTTGCCTGCCTTAGTGCCTTGACTTCCAGTTCGAGCGCGCAGTTTTTCTGGGCTTAGACATAGTTTAGCGAAGGTAGCTTGGACAAGCTTCGCGCCTGTTTAGAGAGAAAAAGCACGACTTGTGGGCGGTGTTCGAGACTGTCCTGACTGGTGGTGCCGTGTAAGCGGAGTAGCGAGCGGCTTTACTGCACGTTTTTAGTATATGAGCTTGCGAAGCCCGCGTTTGCGCTGACCCTCTTGGTTTTTAGGTATCGTCTTCTTTACATCGTCGAGTTTTGTTGCAGCATTGTTGAGCGCTTTCACGTTTCTTTCTTCTTGTTCGTTGCTGATGGCTAGGTGACACTCGTTCGCTATTCTCTTCACGTTTACTAGCCGTCGATCAACCGTGATCCCTTTACATAACCATATCCTTGTTTAATTATTCGGATACTGTCACTACATCTACGATACGAAAATCGAGGCATACTGAACGACATGTCATACCTTCCGCCGCTAGGAGCCTTGCTCCTGCCTCTTACGGCACTACTCGCCCAGTCTGCCCTCGCCGCCAACCCGTACACCAGCTCCATGAACGAGGCACCCAAGGATAACAACCCAGACTGCGACTGCTATGTCGTCCAGTCCGGCAAAGACTCGCAAACGCCAGAGTACTTCCAGTACTACCGCTTCTACGACTTCCGAAACCTCCCAGGCGCAATGAGCGAATCACCGCCGCTCCTCAACGATAGTCAGATCGCGGGCATGGCGAACACATGGCAGCCAGATCTGTTCAACAGCGATGCGTGGAACTACGATTGGGGCATCCAGAACTGGACCAAACCCGCCACCGAAGACTTCCCCGTACCGATGAACAACTCCTTCGCGAACATCTTCCTCGGTGAAGAAGACTCCACATCATACCTCGCACTGCGAACATCGCGTCTAGATGACTACCAGACGGCTGGAGAAATTGAGAACCAGCAGAAAAACCTCATGCACGTTTCGATGCGCATGTACGGTCGTGTTCAAGGTGCCAAGGGTGCGGTGGCAGGGTTCTTCACCTTCTTCGACGACGACAACGAGTCTGACATCGAGATTCTGACCGACGATCCCAAAGATCAGATTCGCTACACGAACCAGCCTTCCGTAGGGGAGGACGGCAACGAGGTCGCTGCTGCGTCCGTTGGCCCCACCGATCTCCCCCGCTGGGACGAATGGCAAACCCACCGCATCGACTGGCTGCCGAAGAACAGCTACTGGTACTTAAACCAGAAGCAGGTCGCCGCAAACACGTACTCCGTCCCCCGCGAGCAGAGCTTTCTGGTCCTGAACATGTGGGGTGATGGTGGAGAGTGGAGTGGCGAGATGGATGTGGGCGATAGTGCTGAATTCCACATTCAGTGGATCGAGATGACGTTCAATACCAGTGGACCATATGAAGGAAAAAGCCAGGAGAACAAGAGAGATATAACCAGTTTGTTTGGAAGGAAGAGAGCGGAGAAGGGATGCAAAACCGTGTGCAAGATCGATGACGTAAAAGAAGTCGGCACGCCTGAGATTGAGAGCGGTGCGATGGGAATGAGCGTTTCTTGGGGGCTGTTGGTTGTTGTTGGTCTTGTGTCCGTCGTTGTCGGGATGTAGAGACTAGATGTGCATGAATGACTGTAATATACCCAAGTCTATATAAATAGCTGCCTACTGTGAAAAAACGTAATTAGGAGATACACCTGCATTGCTATGATATACCATGTTACTCAACTGCATTATGCCCGCATTTTTGCTCCAGCACGTCCAAAAAAGCAATGCCCAAGTCTATCCCGTGAACAAGTTTACATCTTAATCCCAATAATTAGGTGGGGGCAGACGTCTCCAATAGCCGTGATCCATATCATCTTGCATCTCCTCTGGGGCTTTGCGAGGTACTTCGCATGTACCAGCTTCAACGCAATATCGCCGACCATCTGGGTGATCCACATCTGATCTTCTGCAGTAAACCAGCGGTGATGGTTGTGGTGGCGAATATCGTATGTTGTTATACTTTATGAAATCTTCAAATCCAAGATCTGCAAACTCTATACTGGCTTAGCATTCCAGATTGGGTATCAGAACATGATTAGTTGTCACTTACCAGACGTGCTGTAGGCTATTCGCACAGTGACTGTAAACTCGATGGGACCTGCACGCCACAACGCGGCCTCACGAAGGCGTATCAGGGATCTGACGTGGTTGATGATAGTGCACCCATAACCGGAGAACGGTTGATACCAATGGACATGTACACTCTTCAAATGAGGGAATTGCCCGCTTCGAATGGCTTCAAACAAACCTTCAAAGTATGGCCACGTATGTAACGACCATGCTCTGCAGGGCTCATCAAGCCATAGGTGCTCAAGTGAGTCGGGAATAGCATCTTTGAGCATCGGTGATATTGCCATAGACCACGGACGTGGGTGATCGTAGCCGAGAAGGATGTACGGATTTGCTCGCAGGAAGGTTAGCGAGCTCAGGAGCCTGCCCATGCGGAATTTGCCTGGGTTCTGAAAGAGCGTGCGCCCAACTAGTGCCAACTGATCTCCAAGTGACAAGCTGACGAGAGTCTCTACGTGTGCTAACAGGGCCACGCCGACGTCTTCATAAAAAGTGTCGTCGCAGGGTGGCCTTCCATATGGTGATACCACTTCGAATTCGGTGAGCTCCTTGCAAGCAAGGAGCATCTTCGCGACTATGGAACCGCTGAAGTGCGGGGACAGTAACGATAGCTTGGTAATGGACGACGTGCGATCAGGCCACACCCAAGGCTCTCCCATGAATGCGGAGTCGTCAGTATCTGGTCCAACAGCCCACGGGCGTCCGAGATCAGTCTCACCACAATTGCCGATGGTTAGATCGGTCAAGCTTGGAAGACGAAACAAAGGTAGCGCATTACGGACCGGCCACTCGATACCGCTTTGGTATGCATCAAGATGAAGGACTTTGAGCCTTTCGAATCCACCCTCGTTGGCACTATGGACAATGCTGTTGAGCACGAAACTTGAGCTGCCCTCGTCCAGTTGTGATTTTGGGAGGCGGAGCCAAAGCCGTTCCAGATTGCATGCAGCAAGAATACACGGGGTAAGTAGTACATCTTCTCCCAAGATAGCGCGCTCAAGAAGGTCGTGGTCAGAGGCATGTGCCTGACTGCTATTCATAGCCGGGATGAGTTCGCCGAGCCACTCGTAGCCTTCTGGCGTGTATTCTGGTACGTCGCTCACCCCTTTGTCAACGTCACTTCCATCGCCATCCAGCATCTTCTGATGCCGTCTCTGATAGCGAATGCATTTTGCATCGTAAGTCGCACGTTCCTCGTTCTCTTCGTCATCGAGCTCGTTCTCGGGTCGCAGGCTATGCCCCGCCCAAAAATCACCTACCTCGAAACCGTCCTCCATCTTCAGTCTCAGATTCTTGATGTACCCACACAGTTCCACGTTTTCGAGAAGAGTACGTGGTAGCTGACGAAAGGCCTCGTTGTTCATGTCGCCTGCCCGCTCAATGGATTCGTAGATGAGCGATCTCGCGACATCTCTGAAGCTTCGGCAGACGCGACACAGCGCCAGGAGGTCTCGCGAAGGAGCGGGTACAGGCGGTGAAGAGAAGCATGTTATCGGCGTGTGCAGGAGACTGAAGATTTGGAGTAGCAGCTCGTTCGGAAACTCGTCCATGACTGGAAGACAAGACGAGAAACGTATTGCGCCTAAGACTGGGATTGTTGACCTTAAAAGTCAGGAGGGAAAATCAGGCAGCAGTATGAGTCAGACGCGCTTACTCTGCAGCCAAGAAGTCGCGTTCTCGCAATGTCGCGTTTTCGGTTAGCTCGATTTTCACGCGCTGCTCACCTGTGCATGCCTAGCCGAGGATGCAGATGTTCTCTTACTCCCCAAACATATGCACCTTCTCACTCAGGCTGCGCCAACTTCGAGGCTATCCTCCAGCTCGGTGATTTCCGGTCGACGAACAAGGGCATGCGGCAGCTACGTAAAAGCCACAATAACTAAAGAAGTTAACAAACATCTTAGGCAAAAGCGGATGCTAGAATCTAGCTACAAGTCTATCTTAAGCCTCTCTAATTTTCTTATAACTTTTCTATCTTTCTAATATTTTATTTAAATTTTTAAATCTTTATATAAAAGCTCTAATAAATAAATTTTATTTTTTTAAGTTAAATAAAACTAGCTTTAATAAAAAATTATAAAGTAGTATTATAATATTATTATATATAATACTATTTTATAAAAGTATAAAAGTACTAAAAAAAGTAGTAGTTATTAGTATAAGTAATAAAGTATTTATAGTCTTTATTTATTAGTAAACTAATCTTATAGTATAAACTAGTCTAAAAAAAGTAAGGTTTATTACTAGTATATAAAAAAATATATTTTTAAAAAAGTTAAAATTCTACGTTTAAAAGTATAGACGTTAAATAGACTAAAACTTAAGTTTTTAGTACTACTACTTTTAGCGTAGTTAAAGCTTTTAAAATTTAGAGTAGTAAAGTAACTATTTTATAAATACTAATATCTACTTATACTATAGTAAAGAGAATTATAATATAATTATATATTAATAGCTTATAACTAACTAAGCTATAAATTATAAAGTAATAAAATACTAAAATCTTAGCTTATAAAATTATACTTCTATATATATACTCTCTATTCTCTACCTTTATTTTTATTTTATAGCTTATAGTAAAATTAGAGATTTAAAAACTTATTAAAAATATAAATAGTAGCTTAAATCTAATACTAAAAGCTATACTAATATATACACTAAATAAGCTCTTAACTATATTACTAATACTTCTTTTATAAGTTTTTCTAGCGTTAGTAAGTCTATCTAAAGCTAATCTTATTACTAGTTATATTACCTTTCTATTTCTATACTTATATTAATTATATTCTTATACTATATTACTTATTAAAGCTTTTATAAACTACTTTAAAACTACTACTAAAAAAAAAGCTCTTAGTTAGGCTATGTTAGTAATTATTATATAAACTATTATTAAAGCTATTATAAAAGCTATTATTAGAGCTCTTAAAGCCTATCTTACTTATCTTATATTATATTTTAAAACTACTAAAACTATTACTACTATTAATACTATTAAAATTATTATACTACTACTATAAAAGCTTCTAATACGTAAACTAAGACTTTTTATAGTTCTTTATTATAGCTAAGCTTTTAAGTAACTTACTAGTAATATATAAAAGTTCTTTTATAAGCTATACTTACTTTAAAGAAAGTAATAGAATAGTTATTATATTACTAGTATTACTTTTTTTACCTAGAGTAATTTATTAATTATTTATACTATTTATACTTATAACTTTATATATAAGCTTAAGCTATAAATAGCTTTACTTATAAAGATAAAAGTAGCTATTATATACTAGTATAAAGTATTTATTAAAATTCTTAGCTAAAGTAGTAATAAATAAACTAAAAGAGATAAAGTATTTAAAGCCTATCTTTAGTATAATAATACTATTAAATAGATAGTAGCTATATTAGTATTTTACTATTATAGTTACTTTTAAGAACTAAGCTATAATAAAGTAGTTATCTTTATTAGCTACTTAGCGTTTTAAGTTATATTATATTAATAGCTAATAATAAATTAAATATAGTAAGGTATTAAAAAGTTTCTCTTCTTAGTAAAGTTTTAAAAGTAATATATTATTAGTCTATATAAAAGCCTTAGTGCTAATAGTAATATATCTAAATATATTAAAATTTTAAAATCTCTTAGTAGTTCTAGAACAAAAGCTAAGTATTTTTTAATATCTTTTTACTAAATAGAGTCTATAAAATTAGATATAAGATACTATTATAGTCTTTATAAGATATAATAGTAATATATTTAGTAATATTATATTTATTATAAGTATTTTTTTATATAAAGTTAGCTAAAGTAGATTTTAAGAAATAAGTATTTCTTACTAAGTATAGTAGTTCTACTATTTTAAAGAATTAGTATTTAAAAATTTTATAAGAATTTATATTTTATATAGCTAAGAATAAATAAGTAGCTACTTAGTTATATAAGTAAGCTAATAAAAGAGGTCTTTTAGTACTATAGGTAAATAGAACTAGATCCTAGTAAACGATGCGATTCTACATCTAGACGACTAAAGCGAGATGCGATCGCTTTCGCAATAGCTCGGCCGCCTTTGTGATGTGCGCACATGGCCTCGCGCATAAGACGTACGACGAGAACCTCATAGCGTGTATGTTGTTTGCGCGATGCTAAATTGTGGCGTTCTCAGCTCGAGGCTGGAAAGCCTCCAGGGTCCATTTGGTGGCCGAGAAGGCGGGGTGCCCGAAAACGTGGAGGGCAAGGCCGCGCCAAAGGCGAAGCAGTTTAGGTTCGGTAAATGTATGCAAGGGCGCAAGCGAAAGTGTGTTGATGCGTAGAAAGTATGAGTCTGGAAGTCAAGATGTGGACCTGTCAGATGGTGAGGATGCTGGCCCGTCCCGCCGCCGTCACCTGCGTCTGGCCGATTAGGAAGTACCGAGAATCATTGCGTTCAGCTGCCGACGCGCATTCAGCGCACTTAGTCCCACCCTATCACTCTTTCATATGGATATAGGCGAAAACGACGCAGCTGGCTGCATGTTTGTCGCAACGACTCATGGAACCAGAGAGCTTCACGAGTGCTCCACAGTTGTTTCGAGTTTGGGCTGGCTGACGCTGATGATCCAGAGCAAGCCATGTGCACAACACGCCTTGTTGGTTGGCACCTTTGCGAGCGGGGTGTCATGATAGGAATAGTCGCATGAATCTATGCCCAAGGCGGCGTCATTCATCACAGCGCAAGAGCTGAACTTGCGCAGTATAAAGACACCCTTCGTCCATTTATCTTCCCATCAGCAGCCCACGGGAACTCATCACTTCAATATCATCCACCCTCACAGCACTCAATGCACACACAGCAACAGTTCATCGCCATGCGTTCTCTCGTCAAAAAGGGTAACACCATCCATGTCCCCGCCCATTTCCTGGGTGGTGAGAAGAGCGAGAAGATCACCCTGAACTGGAGCCAGTGGCTAGGATCTCACAGTGAAGACTACTATGTCTGCAACTACACCGTCAAGTCCGGTGGTACGTAAGCCCCTTCACTCGCTTGGTGGTCTCAGACTGATCAGAGACGAGTAGACGACGCTAGTGGTCTCATCTTTGTGCAGGCCGACAAGGTTGATGAGTTCAAATCGAAGAAGACAGACGGAGAAGATCTCACGGTCACGGTCGACGAGTCATTCGAGTACGGACAAAACGTCGATATGACCAAGCGTTTCCTCGTGTTTCACAACACAGACAACAGGCCCTATCAGGTAATTGAGCTATGATGCATTAGCATGAAGACAACAAGTGGTTGACTTAGTACAGCACCGTTTTGTTGAAAATTGCCACACCCAGATGGCAGGGCACGCCGCCGACTACGCTAAGGAATTAGGTTTCGGTAGTGTAGCAGAATGTGGTGAGAATTTAGGCAAGAACTTTTTGGGGGATTACTTGCACAAGTTCTAGAAGGTCAAGTTTTGGAATACCAACAATCTTTTGAGCGCTACATAGTTTCAGAAAGTTCATAAGCATCGGCATTGTAATGGAATGATAGCACTTCGAGACACATATTGAACTAGCTTCATGCTACAGCTTGTTGTACTTCGAGCGGAGTTTCTATGCTTCTTCCTAGCTACTTGTAGCATACATCAATCCCTATTATCTACGTGAAGAGTCAACTCCACAGCCCACCATTCTTCGTGTATCGTATGCTCAACTTCGGCCAATTCATTTCACTGCCTTACTGGCCAATTTATCGGTACCTGAGATCGCGCCGACAAAAACCGCTTTGCGATCCTCCAAAGTTTCCAGTGTTACGCAAGTAATAATCCCAGTTGATATGCTCTGCTACAAAGCCGGGGCCACACAGCAGTATCGATTCGCAACCTTCTTCTTGCCGATAGACTTGCATTGACGTACCAACCTCGTTCAATGCAGACACCAATTCAACAAGGAACTTCTTCATACTGTACTTGTAATTCCGGGGGGACCAAATTTCCATGTCAAGAAACAGGTCAAAGGTCGAAAGACCAAGAGATGTGGCAGTCGTAAGGATATAGTTGCGCGAGGGAGACACTTTGGAGGCCTCCTCTAGGTCATGCAGCAACCAACGCGGCACTCCCGTAATTTTGAGGGTCTTTAAACTCTCCGGGAAGAAATTCGTGGGGTGAAGAAGATGCGCGGGTGGATCGTAGATGTTGCCACTGGTTGATCGTATGTAGTTGCAGCCGAGAACGAGTTCTTCCAATTGATTGAGACCTGCGAATCTACCGAATGGTTGGTACACCCGGTACTGTTTTCCTTTTCCTTCTCTGGTGCATTCGAGAGTCTTGAGTGATGGATGGAGGTGCTGCAATAGGTCGCTTAATCTGCGGTAGTCGTACATGTCCCCTTCCACGAAGTGGATATTTCCCATCTTCAGGTGCTGTATACCATGCATTTCCGGCAATGCTAACATGCGATGGAGCTGATCCGGATGCAAAGTGATATACCGTAGTTCCAGATTACGCAAAAATGCAATCCTTTTGGATCCTCTGTATGACCATTGTAAGTCATGGTGGGAACCATCATCGCAAGAATTCCGGTCACCGCTGA